ATCACCATTGGAGGCTGGACAATTGGACAGCTTGGATTGCAGATCGTGATCATTGGAGTTCAAGGAAAAGCAAAAGAGTTTGTGGAATTCATCAAAGGTATCATTCTCATCACAGTTTCTATCTAAACACATTGCAGATCCTCGATTGGGAATTGAAAATTGTTTTATTTCTGCTGTGCATGATTAAGTAAATTCCCAACAGTGCTGGTGTATAGAAAGGCTTCAACAATATCTTTGGAGATAAAGTTCAGTAACCACGAAGTAATCATATAATTAACTCTCTGCCATTTTTCATAATTAGGTGAAGTTTTCTCAAGTATTTCAACACTGCCATCAATAAGCCATAACTTCATCTTCGCTCCAAGGGCAATTTTTACAGATCTGGTCCACGCCAAAAAAATTTTACCAGTTAAAGGCGCCGTAACCAATGTCATTCCTGGATTATCTGAGCTATGAAGAAACAACGGATCTGAAGTATTCATTTCATTTTGCCTTCCATTTCCTTGAATCGTCTGGTCATTCCTTAGTTCTGCAAGAAGCAGATATACATTTTGATTCCCAGCCATGGCTGCTCAGTTCTGAGCTTATCTTCTTCCTCCTTTAATGGATACGTAGCTTGCGGTTCTGGAATTCCAGAATCTACCGCTCTAATACCATGTTCAAGTATATGAAATCAACAATTTTATTCATTACTCACTCACTCAAAGTTCATCAATGGAGGTCAATTTATAGAGGACCGAAAAGAGGGAAAAATTAAAATGAACTAAAACTATGTAAGAAGATCAATTAGGTCCATTAGGAATAATTTGTACAGAGATTGAACACAATGCTTGAAAATCTCCCACTTAAGGAAAAAGATTAAAAAAGTAATGTTTTAAATCTAACTCATGCATTGAACTTATCTTATGAGGCTCAACTAGAATATTAGAATTAATTAATCAATTATACATTAAAGATATATAATATTGTCAAGTATATTCATAAAAATATATCATAATATATGCTAAGGTTGAATTGATTCTTAACAACAAAATTATATTATTATTCTTAACAACAAACTAATAGTTTTAAGCTACAACATATCAATTTCTCAGCAATCCTTTTTTTTCATCAATTAAGCTAGGAGGGGCCCATTTTTAAAACAACGACAAGAAGAAAGAAACTAATATCGTTACCATAGTATGATATATTAAGTTGCATAGCACTCGATATGATTAAAGAAGAATAAAGTTAAAATCTCATTTATTGTTTGATGTCGAGATGTTGGACATGCAAACATCTCATGGAAGCGTAAATTATTCCTGAG